GGCGCTGCTAGGCGGGAAAGCCGCCCCTGCTGGGGTACAGAGCCCGGGCCGTGCGGGCCGCGGATCCCTTTGCAAGCCCCGAAGGGGGAGCCATCCTTGTTTGTTGGGCTGTAATATTGTTTTCCTAATTTTCTTATTTTTTTTAGGAAAACGTAGATCCCCAGAGAACAGCGTTTCTACTGCGCAAGCAGTGGACCCTATACAGCGTGAGCCCTCTGTACAGATTCTCCAACGCTCAGCTGAGGGATTACGCTAGGCTGCTCAGTGCTTTTATTGCTGCCGAGAAGCAGAAAGGATTGGCGGTGGAAGTAGGGGTTGAGCTGGACATCAAAGTGGCTGTCTCCAGTCTTCCAGACCTGAAGGGTAGTGACCAAGACCAGGCTGCCATTCTCGTGCAGGTAAGGAGTCTTTCTAGCAGTTTTGATAATTATAATTGAGACCTGCATTTTACAAGTTGCTTTTGCTCGGTCTCTTACTAAACCCTAGCTGTATGGAATAACTACTGTAGTATCTTTTGAGATTTAATGAAAGCGAGCCCTGGCTATTTTTAACTGGAACAGAACATCTCATAAGCAATGGATATGTTTATTTGCAATTTTGAGTTCAACTCTTTGATAAGATCAGAGTAAGACTATAAGGAGAAATCTTTGATTTTTTTAGTTTGGCAGTCAATGTACTGCAAGAACTCAGGTTATTGAGCTTCCTGGATAAAGTTGGTATAATCCTACCTCCTGGCCGTAGCTCAAGTCTAATGAATACTTCTCATACGCTTTGCCTGAAGTTAAAGATGCTACTGAAATGCCAAGTTGAGTATGGCAATGGTTACAAGACATACCATGGACTGGTTCTTAAGCAGCATAAACTCAGATTTCAGGACTGTTCCCAGTGAAGTAAAAGGTGTTTCTCCCACTGTTTTTGACAGAATTGCCCATGTTTTTTAGGGATGTAATGGACAGATTGAATAACTGTATGAGCTTTGCAGAAAAGAATGTCGTATGCAAGGCCCTGAGAAAAATCTTCTACCAAACGCTTGAAACTATAAACCAGAAACCATCTTTGGCTAAAAAAAAGTCAAACTTGCTCTGTAGTATTCATGTGCTTCTTTTCCCCATCCCAGCTTTCTTCAAGATCACCAGCTTCCCCAAAAAACTCAGAAGAGAAACTGGTATGGTTGGGCTGGTTCTGCTGTGTGGCTGGAGATGATCTTTCACAGAACGTGCCAGAGGACTTCACTTGCTTACCTTTGTTTCTTGCTAATGGGGCAGAGAGTTACACGTCCATTGTTGGAAGCTGGTTTCAGAAGACTTTTGACTGCCGCTTCCGCCGTTTAGCCATCAGCCCTCTCAACCTCAGCTGGATGGCAGCTATGTGGACTGGATGCAAAGTGGAAAAAACTGCATCTGCCATGGAACTTGTTTTCTCTGTCCCCCGTCTGCCCCAGCCTCTGGATATTTCATATGCCATTCATCCAGAGGATGCAAAAGCTCTATGGGACACAGTCCAAAAAACGCCAGGAGAGATTACTCAAGAAGAGGTGGATGTCTTTATGGACTGCCTTTACTCTCACTTCCACAGACACTTTAAGATCCATTTGTCAGCCACAAAACTGGTGAAAGTTTCTACAGCAATTGCCTCAGCGCACTGTGATGGGATTGTAAAGGTGAGGTTTTTAAGTAGCATGTTGTCCTAACTAATGCTGGACAAATAAAAGGCTTCCTGTTTCTTATGCATTATTTCCTACAAAAAGTTAGTTAGCTTTTATTAGTCCTAGTTAGTTCTGGTGTTGGAGCAGCCATCAATACAGTACTTTACTACTGTATTGCAGCAGCAGCTAGTAACCCTGGTCTTAAGCTAGAAATAGATGTATTAGCTAAGGGATGAATAGGAAAGCTTCTTTGCTCATTTGGCCGAAGCTTACACTTAAAAGATCCCAAACTTAAACAAAAACCTTAAAAAAAGTTAATTAGTTTTGTAGTACTGCAGTTAAGATATAGACAGAAGACACATAATTAACCCGCTATTTAAAAAAACTGATGTGTGGGTGAGCTGAGATACAACAGATAATCTTAAAAGTCAAAAAACCATCTTGCTTAAAACTATTTCACTTGCAACCTTTTTCATAAAGGTGCTGGTCTCCCTATAGAGGTATCTACAATATGCTCTATAAAACCATAGAGAATTAATACTTCCTGAAGTTTCTTCAAGCAATACAACACGGTCCTCTGGGTTAAAGAACGGTTTGTGTATGCAATTGCTTAAATCTTGTCTAGCATGTGCTGACTTCATTGTTCTGGGTACAGAGGGAATGTTAGGAGCTACAACTGGGACTCCACTCATGCACCTCTTTTCCTGGAGTGCGAGTTCATCAAATGAAAGAAAATAAGCTTTGCTGGGAAGCATCTCTTTAACAGTCTCAGCCTTTGATAGGACAACTGCAAACCACTAAATGTTAGCATTACATTGCCTGTTTTCTGTCACAGGTAAGTAAACACAAGAGCTAGTCAACTGAATAGGCTTTCTGAAGAAGGTTCTCTTCTGGCAAGTGTGTTCTGCAAACTCAGTTATGGCTCTTCCATAAGAGGGATAATGAGTTCAAGTCAGACATCAGTATGGCAAAATATGGGTATTCAAGGAAACTGGCATAGTCGCCTTCTGACGAAAGGAGGGAGGTAGCAGAAGTGCTAGGATTCTCCCCTTCCAAAACGCTTGAGTAGGAGCTGGGCATTTCTTAGGTACCCTGCTTCACATGGGACAGGAGCAGAAGTTGGAGGGCTCTGAAAGGAGCAGCATGGAGGCATGTGTGTTTTCTCCATCCCCAGGGTCAAAATAGTAACAAAGGTGCCTTGCAAGCAACAATAGAGAAGCTGGCTAATCACATGGAACACTTGGTAGTTGGCTTCCGACCATGTAAGGGTGTGAAAATCTGGCAACTGCAATTTGTGTTTTGACATGCTTTTTTTTTCTTTTAGTTTCTACAAAGCCAATACCTAACTGGAGTGCTGATGCTGCTGACAGAACTAGCAATCTCTCAGATACAGTGAGAGTCATTTCAGCAAATCTTCATGTGAAAAAGGCTTCTGCTGGAAGATGTATGCTGAGAAACAGATTGGAAACTCACTCCTGCAGCATCTGTTGTCCTTTCATGCTGGCTGACCAAAGTTGGACTCCAACTCCTGCACTCAACATCATAGCTAGCTGTAATTCAAGCTCACATGCAGCAAAGATGAACATTTTGCCCTAAAGAAAGGCTACAGTACAAATTTCTAAGAGCTGATTAAGCACCTTTGTTTTATCATAGTCACTTTGTTCATTTATGTAAACTTTGCAAATTCTTGGATGCAACTTATTGACAGGTATTTCTGTTGTTTCAAATACAAGTTAGTTTTCAATTAACTACGTAACCTAAGCTATATAGACCTTAGCCTTAGCTTGCGACTACTCTTGGGCCAGTCCAAGTGCAAAGTCAAGCACACCTGAGAAAGGGTGCATGCTCTACAACCCAGGGCAGAAAAATCCAGGTCTCCAGCTTCCTTTCTAGCTTGCTAAGGCCAGTTGGTAATGGTCATAAAGTGTTCATCTGTGTCCTGGGTGGGCTAAGGCAAATAGTGTGAGACTGACAACTGCCTTGTGCGCCCAGCCCGTTGGTCCTCTCAGACAAGTTAATACATAGGAAATTGAGGTCTGTGTATAAGCTAGATACTTACTACATTTTGCCTGATGTTTGTTGTCTTGGATGTAGTTTTGTAGGCCACAGAGCTCTTAGGGTTGGAGCTAGGGCTGCTAAAACTTTATACTAGACCTCTTCCTTCTACATGGCAGGTAGGAGTTCAGAGACCTAGTAGTTGTAGCTTAAATAAGCAGAAAGGGAGTAAGTACATGTTAAGTATTATGATTTTTGTATTACAGTACTAAATAAAGAAAAAAAATTGCCATCTTTTGCCAATAGTTTGGTCCTGAGTAAAGACCACCTCTGTCTGATTAAATATATGCTTGTGTGGTGCTTATTTCCAACTATGGCTTACCCACCTAAACTACAAATTGTTACCTATTAAACAATTCTGTGAGCAGCAATGTGTAAAGTCTAGTTTCCTATACAATTCACTTTTAATGGCTTCATGCTTCTGCAATATCTCTAAGGTCTGATGAGTTTGTGCTGAGACCTTCCCCCAAACAGGCATGCAAGCCTTCCTTTCTTTGCCCAATCATGTAATTTTAGCATTTATTTGCCAGCTGTCACTAAAAGCATTCTTCTCCCCAGCAACATTGCTATGAACCAGTCATGCAAACATGTAACTGCCTAACATGACATAATTAGATAACTACTACTTTTAATAGTTATTTCCAGAATTAGCCAAAGAAATATTCACTTAGTTTTAGCGTGAACTTACTCGCTGAAGATGGATTATTTTTGCTTGTAAAGGTTGCAGTCTGTGAAGTGATCTTACCCTGGTAGAAGCAGCTAAGCAATCTTCTGAAGGTCTCAACAGCACAAGCTATTTAAACTATCATTTCTGGTGCTTTAGTTTCTTTTTATGAAACATCTTTGACAAAGTTTGCTATCTTGATTCAGAGGAACACTAGGTAAAGCAGGAGTAGGAGGTCTGACATAACTGGCACCTGTATTTGATGTGAAAACAGGACTATTACACCCCTGGCTTAGTTTAAACCTAATACTCAACTCTTTCCAACAAATTTGCATAAATAATATTCAAAAAACTAAATTCTGCATAGTCTCTTTTAACTTCTTCCTTGCCTCAATACCAATAGTATATGAAGCTCCAGTGGATATGTGTCTGAACTACAGCCGTACTCAGCTTTCAAGAGTGATGCTTTTTGTCTGCATGCGGTATCTACTACAGCCTAGCTGTAAGGTATTGCTGGAATGAAAGGCTACTTTTTTTTTTTTTTTTTTTTTAACATGCTTGTCTGCAAATTGGGCTATAGCCCTCATTGGTAACTGCAGGTAAGTGAACAGAGCTAGATTTAGCCAGATAGTGCAGATACTTTCTTCCAGAAAAAGCTGGTTCCAAGCAATATGCATCTAAGCATATAGATGGTAACACCAAACAGCAGAGTTTTAAACCAGTTTTACTTGGACTGGTATCTGAAAAAAACCAAAGCCCAGCATCTATGTCCATACAAACTATACAAAAGCATAGTTCACTGCTTTCACCCAAAGGAACAAACAAAGAACAGCATAGAAGAAATTTATTAAGATAGCACTATTTATACAAGTTACTCATGCTAGAAAAAAGCATAAATGATACATGTAAACATTTGTTTACAGAATACTTGTTTTCCTTGTAAAGGTGCAAATGATCTTCATATGTAAACACAAGAATACCGACCTTTAGGGGAAAAGGGGCTTTTAAAAAAGTTTTAATGACCCATTTATTACTGTAGTGTAATTTTTACTATATTCAAGCACATTAAAATGCCGAGTTACATGAATTAAACTATGAAGTTAAAGAACTTAATATGTCAGCACTGCCTTTTTCATCTCAGGAATTTACAGTAAGGTCCAAATGGTATCAGGTGCAAAAGGTCATTCTTTCATACTAGATAGAAATCACAGTACAAACATATCAGAACCTTTGAGTCTAGAGTTCCTCCTTCCTCTCCCCCCACCCTTGGGTGCCTCCACAGTCACTGAAACATGACAGTTACTCACAGTGCCAGCCAACAGTTCCTCCCCCCCAAACTCTTTAATGAGCCTCATGCCTTTCCTTGGTCTAAACAAACACAGGCAAAGTGCATAAAAATCACTGAAAGGGAGGGTGCCATCTCATCACGGTCAGTGTTTTACGACAGGAATTCTGAAGACACAGACATGAGGCAGGACGGCAGCTAAGATGGTTGGTCTAGGCTAGTCAGAATTAACAGATGATACCTATGTCCCAGCTTCAGACAAGAACTGATATCCAGCTGGCAATGTGAGAAAAAGGTTTTCCTAAGTAAGCAACAACTAGTTGTTTCTGGGTTCATATACAGGGGAGGGGAGAGAAAAGCTGAACTTTTGTACCATACACTGTACAGTAAAAAGGCATCTTTTGAAATCCTTTTCACTCTCACCCTTTTTGGGCACTTCACTGATTCAGGTCGATAGATGAGAGTTCCAGTTCTATTTCTTGCCTCCAGCAAGACTGAAAAGATACTCAGGGCACCCATCCTCATAGCTCTCCTGTACTCTAAGAGACCCTAAAACATACCACAAGGGTTGGAACCACAATAGCTGGCAGAACATAGCCCTGCCCTAACCACCAGCTTGTCAAAACTCAAATCGCACACGCACATATACATATATATAAAATACATATATATATATGCACACATATATATGTATATAAAAAAAGCTGGAATTATCGCTGTGAGCAATACAAAGAAAATACATGATACAAATTAAATGAAAAAATAAATATACTCTGTGCACAGAAAAGCTTCTGTGCAAAGGTGGCACCTTGCAGGTCAAGTACTTTTTTTGAAGCTCTCTGTAAATAAGGCAAAAGCAATGTTTTCTGTATCACTTTCCTCTTTCGCCCACGATACAGCTGCCACATCCACTGCTCACAGCAGGAGGGAAAGCAGGAAACCCTCCTCCTTGCCAGACTCCCAGTATAGCACGTGGTCTCTACATCAGCAATGTTTACGCTACAATAACTTTTACAGTTTGGTTTATTCAAAAATGTAGACTATTTAGAAAAAATACGGACATAAGCAACACTTCTACTTTTGTCCAGTGGTTCCCTGGAGTCTGACAACGTGGTCTCCCATTGGGCACACTCTCACAGAAGTCATTTTTGTAATTCCATAGAAAGAGTCACCGGCAAAGAGTTACATTGGATCTAGACCGTGCATACTAGAGCTGCAAAGAGGTCCAGTGTCAACAAGTCTCTTCAGTTTTTCTAGGAATGAGAACCAAGGGGTCTCCCTCCCTCTTGATGCTTACCATATATGGGATTCACAGTGCGTCATTTTGATAACACCTACTCCTCCTCCCAGCCGCCGATAGTTCATCCCACCATACAACCTGCAAAGACAAGGTTTCAGTGATCACACTGGTTCAGCTCCTTCATGGAGCTACCACAGGAAAGACAACCAGCACAATTACACAATTGTTAACCTCTGGTTAAAGCGGACCATGGCAAGTAAATTGGGTAGCAGTCATTTTATGTACTTCCAAGGTAGACAGCTGTATTTGCTCATGCCTTTCTCTCTCAAAACAGAAACTGCTTCTCATTTTCACACCAGAGTTTTCTGTTACTCGAGTAACCTGTCTGGTAATGTGCAACTTTGCAGGCTGTAGCTGACCTTGGGCTACATTTTAGGCAACATGAGAGCAAGGATAGGTTTGCTGCTTACAATTTACCTAATTTCTTTTATATTTCTAATACCCTAAATTCAGCTGATCCAACCAAGATGTAACACATCCCAAGCACCATCTGTTTCTCCAAAATACATTACTGAAATGGCACCTGCATTTCATATGGAAATCTGATCCCTATAGACTCCAGCATCCTACTCACTTCAGCTGCATATTCCCCTCTGTGCCACTGAAGTCTGCTGGCAGAAACAGGAGAAGCAAGTTCTTCAAACAACTCCTACCAATGCAATTTGTTAAACCCAAATTGTGTTGGAAGCATTTCTCAGTCGAGCTACACAAATAAAAATATCCATCATAGAGCAAGAAGTACAGCAAACAAAAGAAAGAAGGCCACAGCTGTTGATCAGCTATATTGAATTCAGTGGGGGGAAAAAACCCCACAAGCTTGAACAACCTCCTAAACTTCTGTGAATGTGAGCCCAGGCAGTTAGTCCTAATTCTAGGTATCTCATTATTGTTACTATCACTGGAAATAGCTGAAACCATTCAGCTATGGAATATGAAGTATGTTTTACTCTCTACTCAACTGGTTTTCTCAGCAGTTCAAAATGCATTGTCCATAACTGAACAAACAAGGGGAAGTTCCTCCACCGCTACTTATGACAGCTTATCTCAGCAGTAAAGGGTTAATCTACTAGTATTACTAGGCTGGAAGGAATAAAGACATTAATTTCTTTCTATTTCCCACTCCTGGCAGATTACTAAAGCAGCAAGAGTACAGACAGAAGCTTGAAATTCTATACTAATTAGATTTGGGAATAAATATACAGGCAATTACTTTCAAGTGTAGTTATGACTAGAAAAGAAATAGGAAAAATAGCCCTTCTGCTCAGTGTGCATTTTTTGATTGTTTCTCTCAGCTTATAAATCAGATTAAATTCTTCTAATTGCTGTTTTGCAGATTTAAAGGGGAAGAACATCATATGCTCAAAGTGTTCTGTTTCAGTTCCTCCAAAAGGATCTGGTCGTCAGAGCCTCAGCTTGAAAGCAAAAAATGAGTAGGCCGAATTCTACATCATGACTGTGAGCTCCTTCTGCTAAGGGCAAGCTTAGTTTTATTGGGAAGCAGAAGAGACTTGGCCCAAAATAAACAGAAGAGGTATGTCTCTCTCAATGTGGTCCATTTTTGTTACGTTCGAAAGCAGCAACAAGCATGCTAAATAATTTATTTTCTCTGGGTCTCAATAACCTACCTATACACCATTTTCCTACCTGCAAAAGATGCAATGAGACTTCATTCATTAAGCATTGGTTAAATCTGTTGGGACACTGAGATGGGAAAAAAATATGGAAAATTCACTCCCATTTTACTTAAATTGGAGTCAATGGCTGGAATTCAAGCAGAAATCTGCAAGAAAATGTTTCTCAACTGACTACTCCCATAGTCACAGACATGGGGATACTGTAGTAAATGGCATTCTGGGCTATTTTTCAAAATGTGATTCTCTTTCTTACCCTTTCGTGCAAGCCAACAAGTCACAATGCGAACATTATGCTGGCTACCACACCCAAGTTCTTC